GGGCAAGGCATGGATGAACAAACACGTACATAGGGGGACAGAGCTGATGGGGAAAATTATTGATACCTTGTGGCCCGAGTGCTGGGAGGCTAAAGGGAGAGAGGTGTATAGCTTCAGTAAGTACTTGGAGATAGGAAGGGAAAGCCCATAAAGGCAAGTTGGGTGTGGCAGCTCTGTGAGGACAGAGGAAGAATCGGAACACCAGCCTTTTAAAGGAGCTGACTGAGGAGACCAGAGCGGCTTCCTAGAGATGTGAGGTTGGCAGTGGCTTTGGGAGAAGGGCGTGTTCAACATGTGGGGCTGATGTCGGATAGAGCATTCAGTAGGCACTTGAATATCTGGACCTGGATTTCAGAAGTCTAGCAGACTGTAAGTTCTGGAGCCAGGAGTACAGCGTGGCATTTAAGTGAGGGAGCGCATGAGATCATACAGTGTGGAGGTAACAGGCTCAGGAGCTACCTGGAGGCTGACATTTGCAGGTCAGGGACAGGAGCCAGCAAAGGACACTGATTAGTAGGCCGCAGGAAGAAAGCCAAGGGCACACTGTACCACAAATCAAATTAGTGATGGCAGCTTCCGGGATGAAGGGTGGGTGGGTGTGTGCCCCTGGGGATGATGAGGTCCCAGAATGCTTTGCATCAGGCTGGACGTGTGTGCATATGGGGCATTTATTTATGTAGGCAGTACTGCGAGATGAACAGGAACTGAATGCAGTGGCCCAACATGAGCTGAGCTCCTAAGGCAAAAGGAGTGATGAGTACCGGCCTTGATAATCCCCAAGTGTCCTTGAAGCATGGGCTGTCTGCGGATGACAGAGCCACAGAAACTCCTTCTCTGGCTCTCCCAAGTCCCGCCCTGGCCTGGGGAAGCACTTGGTGTCTCATTCAGGCTGACAACTTGGGCCCTGTGGCAGAGAGTCTGGAGATACAAGGCTTGAAGTACCTGGAGTCGTCGAGCAAGCAGATCGAGAGTTTGCTCAGTCTGTATTTTTGCCCCAAACAAGCCCTTGGTGACAGATGTTGCTGGCCCACTTGAGAGAAGGTCTATCCCACTCACTCCACTGGCCCAAGGCTCTCTAGATAAGCCTTCTAGGCACACAGGGGCAGCCCTGTGATGCTATTCAGCGCTGTGTGGCCTGGATTTCCCCTTTCTAACAGAAGAAGCAGGGGGCCCAGCACTTTTTACTTTATACGCCTTTTCAAGACCCTGCAGTCCAGTTAGATGACAACCCTGTCAGCTGTCCTTGTAGTTAAGAAAAGCATAGGGTGAGGCTGACTTTAAAACACAGATAATGAGACTGGACAGATGGACGGCTCATCAGTTAAGGTTACTGGCTACTCTTGCAGAGGATCCAGGTTATTTTCCCTGAACCCACATGGTGACTAAGCTGTCTGTACCTCCAGTTCCTGGGGATCTGATAGCCTCTTCCGCCCTCCCTTGGCACTACACACATGTGGTTCAGAGACATATACTCAGTCAGAAGACCCATGCACTTAAAAACAAATTACTATTCAAAATTCAGAAATTAGACTGTGTTCTATTGCTGTAGACATGGGACTGGCTGCTTCCTGTGGTTCAGGGTAGGAGGTCAGCTGTACCCCTGCAAATGGCTTGCTTTGCAACGGGCGTTTGGTTCAGCAGCACCAAGAGGAGACCTCGGAGCAGCTGACAGAGATGGACTTGGATGTTAGAAGGACCGTGGCCTCTGAATACGAGGCCTTGAGAGTGGGAGGCAGAGGGAAAGACAGCTGTGTTTCCAGGTGTAGCCCAAGGGAGAAGGTGTTTGCAGTCAGCTGTGCCTGAGTGGCCACAGTAACTAGTCTCCAGCAGCTAGTGTCCTCCCTGGGGCAGATCATTACATAATATGTTCAGATTCAGCTGGGATGCAGTCATTGATTTTGTTCATAGATCGAGTGGGCACTGATATTGGTCTACTGCTCTACCTTGTTGTAGGCTCTAAGTCAGCTCTGCCCTATGTCTTTGCTCTGTGTGATTTTGTCCCCCCCCCCCCAGCTTTTCTCTCACACCACTAGCAGAGAAAATTAGACACGACCTTCTTCCCTGCTCCTGGGCAGCACAGCACTGGCGATGCCTCCCTATAGAACTGACTAGCAAATCGAAGGGTAATGCGCTCTTCTCACAAGTGATTTTCTTGCCCTACAGAAAACCACCATTTTCAATATTACTGTCAGTATCCGTTGACCTGTCCGCATAATTGAAGCATCATCTGTCATTTCTATTTCTTTAATGCACACTGTGAGTACATCCCTTTATGGCCACGCCACTCCCCTTGGCCATGCGTGTGGAATTTGCTCTTGAGGTATATGTGAAGGATTTTGGCTGTTTGGAGGGAGACTTGATTCCAGTGTGTAATGTACTTTAAAAATGGTTTTCATTAGACCATTAAACCTGATATAGCCCCAGGCCATGCTTTTCTATGTGCTTTTAATTTAATATTGAATCCTGGGCACTGGTCATTAATTGTGTCTTTAGAGTTACAATGAAAGTGAAAGTCCTCTTTAATGTCTGCTGGTTGCCTCTTCACGAAACGTCTCTGGTAATGTTTGTATTGGGTAATACACAGGTTTGGGAGCAAACCTTATAGCAAAAGCGTTCCCTAGACTGCTTCTTTTCTTTCTCACTGAGTGTGTTGAACTACAGGCAGCTTAACTGTGTACATGGGTCCAAAGCAAACCCACCTCCCAGCACAGATAGCTCCAGAAGGATGTATTAAATCTGACACCCACACATAGTATCTTTGAAAGCTCTGAGAGGACACTAAAGCTTCATTTTAGGGAGACATGCGAAGCAAATCTGAAGTTCCGATTGCGCATGCGTGGGATGGGAACTTGCTTGACTGTGGTCTCTGTGGTGAGAAGGCCAGGTTGGAGGGCAGTTTGTTTTCAATACTGGAGCTCCGCAGGATGAGTCACAGCGATTTCAGGAAGCTGCTCTAGTCTGTTGTGCTGTGAGAATTCATGAGGCAGTGTCTCCTTTTGCTCCACACGGTGTTTAGGAAGGTGTGGACAGAGATGTCACGCATTTGACTCTTGAACAGTTTTACTGTCTTGGGTTGGACTTGGGGCCACAACAGGACAGAGAGCTTTAGAGATCATCTTGTTTGAAATGTCAATTAGCTTTCCCACTTGTAGAATGAAAACCAGGCTGCACCTGATTTCTCGATCTCCCAGTGTTCAAAGTCACGGTCTCAGTAACTGTAATTCTGCACCCCCTCCCCCATTGCTGGAGCGGGAAGCTTGCCACACCACACCCAGGGCCACAGGTCTTCATCCTGCATGTGCTGCTACTGGGGAAAAGGCCACACCTCTGCAAGCCTCAGTTTCTTACAGTGTCTTCATTCCTTTTTTATTTAGACACAGTCCTCACTTTGTAGCTCTTGCTGGCCTAGAACTTGTGAGATAGATCAAACAGGCCCTAAAGGTGTGTGTGTGTGTGTATGTGTGTATATGTGTGTGTGTGTATGTGTGTGTATATGTGTATGTGTGAGTGTGTATGTGTGTGTGTATATGTGTATGTGTGAGTGTATATGTGTGTATATGTGTATGTGTGAGTGTGTGAGTGTGTGTGTGTGTGTGTGTGTGTGTGTGTGTGTGTAAGTCAGAGAACAAGTTCTGGGAGTTGAGATTTTTTCCTTCTGCCATTTGGGTCCCATGAATTGAGGTTGGTTCACCAAGCTTGGTGGCACATCTTGGTATAAGTGATTTTTATAACACTATTCTGATGTTTTCCAGGAAATAGACATCCTTATAAATCTGTTAGAATTTGTTTTTTGTTAGGGTGAAGAGATGACCCAGTGTTTGATAACATTGGTTGCTCTTCCAGAGGACTTGAGTTCAATTCCTAGCACACACATGGCAGGTTATAAGTGTCTGTAACTTCAGTTCTAGGGGATCTGATGTCGTCTTCTGGCCTCTCGGGGAGGGTGCTTGGCACACGTAGGCAAAACAATCAGGCACATAATAAAAATGAAAATGAAGAAGTGTTTTTTTTTTTTCCAGCTTTTAGTGGCTAAAGTCTGTCCTATGGTTGGATCTACCCTGGTGATCTGCCTTTGGACATTTATTTAGGTGCCTTTTTCTCCCTTCTTTCTTTCTTGCCTTCCTGATAATGGAAGTTAATTGTTCACCATGCAGATAATTCTTTTTTTAATCCTAAGGTGAGCTTTTTGGGACCTATTGTGCAGGCGTGTGCCGGTGTGCAAGTGTGTGAGCATTTATGTCAGTATGTGTGTGTTGCTTATAATGTCATCTTGTATATTCAAAGACATCAGTATACATCGTAGGTATTTTTGTCTTCCTGCCGTGTGGCATTATGGGCAACCCTGGACTTCCAGTTCAGAAGTATGACTTATCCATGCCTATCTTTCCTATACTTGGGACTGAGCACACAGGTCAGAGATCGTTCTTCCTGCCATTGGCTGCAGTATTCTATAAAACAAGGTTGTTAGGATTGCAAGTCTCCAGATGTGGGCTCAGTTAGCAGCAACACCCGCCCTAAGTGCCACACAGTGAAACAAACCTCCCAGTGACAATTTAGGGCATACTTGTGGCTGTGGCAGCTAAGAGTTGATGAATTGATTTTTCTTTGGATTGTCTAGTATTTGTTAACAGGCTGAGGTGGAATATTATTCTTGTTGAGTTTTTCTTTTTTTTTTTTTGGACCCGTCAAATTAACTCCAGTCTATTTTGCTTAAATGTAAAAATCTCACTCTTGAATATAACATGAGCTAGCATTAGTGATTCTGGAGGCTTAAAGATCACTTAGGCCTGGATTTGGGGAGAAGAGGGAACAATCCCCAAATAGCCTGGTCATTCTCTGTACTTCAGAGATAAAGATGGCAGCTACAGTGACATTTCAGTCCCAGCCGCCCCTCCGTTGTGCGCCTGTGCCCACAAGCGGGAAGGGTGGGTGGCTGCCCTCTGCGTGCCTTGGCAGAGCTCCAGGCCTGGTTCATATAGCTGCCTCTTCCTCTGTTTCAGGGCCAGCTTTCAATACTGCAAGAGAAGATAGACCATTTGGAGCGCCTGCTGGCTGAAAACAATGAGATCATCTCCAATATCAGAGACTCAGTCATCAACCTGAGCGAGACTGTGGAGGATGGCCCCAAAGGCTCACCAGGCAATGGCAGCCAGGGCTCGGCACACCTCCTTCCTCTACAGTCAGCCCTTCATGCTGACCCCAAAGACTGCTTGTTTGGCCCACAGAGCGGAAGTCAGCGCCCGGATGTGCAGGTAACGGAGAGTCGATGGTCATCAGCGGCTCAGTTGCTTCTTTTCAGATTTGACGTTGTCTGCTCTTACTCTGTAAGTTTTTAAGCTCCGGGCTCTCCTTTGCCACGGTTTGTTTGTTCTGGCCATCACTTTTCTTTGCTAGTGACATAGTTCACTACTCCCATGCTTCCCCCTGCTGTCTTCTGATCACTACCGTTTTGCTTGCTTTACTGTCTGTATCTTCTGTAGTGGTGGAAAATCTTCAGAGCTTTAATGTTGCCTAGGTGATATTTTTATCTTCTTTTGGAGAAAACAAGAATGTTCCAGTGTCACTGTGCACCTTCTCTATACAGCATGAGGGTAGCTCCTTGGAGGCAAGGCCCTTTGGTAAGGCAGGGAATATTCTAGAACTGTGCTGTCCACGGGAGAGCGTCCTCCACACATAGCTGCAAGCACTCACAGTGCTGTCTGTTGACTTGAGATGTACTCTGAAAGCTTGTAATAGAATCACAGCATGTTTTGGCCTTAGCGTATAAAGTATCTTTATTGTATATTAATTATGTGTTGGTTTGATAATAATGTTGGATAACTTAGATCAAATCTATAATTAACTTTTTATTGGTTTCATTTTACTAGACTATGCAATATTACATGTTGGACTTGTACCTTTTCACTTGGACAACCATGTTCTAGGGGGTCATGGAACTGAAAACCGGGATCAGAAGGACTCTTAAACTTGGGGTGTGTCCCTCATGTTTGTCTTGCTTTGCAAGTTAGCAGAGGCCATTTTAAACCTTGGCCTTGGACCAGGAGGGTGAACTCCATGGAGGACCCCAAAGGGTGAATGTTTTAAAAGTTGTGTGAAATTAGTTGGCTTTAAGCCTGACTTTAGAGGAGGATTTCTTCACCTTTATTTATTCATTTATTTAATTATTTACTTTGGACGGGGTTGCATAGCGCATGATTTGACTTTGAGGCCGTGGCTCATAGGCCAAGCTGCAAGCTGGAGACAGTGTGGCTGGCCGGGCGCTGTGCCTGTGACTTTATTAGACGGAGCATGGGCAGATGCAGATGGGATCAGAGTCCTGTGCTTCCCAGGGCATCTGCTCCTCGGGGCTTGGCTTCATTTCCTTGCTACCCAGTACTTCCTGGTGCCACCTTTGCCCACTGGGTAGGGAAACGGCAAGATGGCAAGCTCCATTTCTGCTGTTGTCATTGTCGTTTGTTTGCGGGCCGTTCACACTGGCTTGCAGAGCATCTCGGCCTGTGGTGGAGTGAGGCGGGAGGACATGCACTGGAGGCCTGGAGGAGGGATTGGCAGTCCCTGCCATGCTTCCCTCTGCCCAGCTGTGCTCCACAGGCCTCCTGGCTTAGTCTTGGAGTCTTAGTTTTTATTCATTCAAGCCATGAGACCTATAGCAAGAGATAGTTATTGTCTTAAAACACTTCATAATCTTTGTTTCTTAATTTTCTGATATTTTATTGTTTTGTAATATTTTATATTATTAAAATAATTTTTATAACCTGTTCAATTTTAACAATTTAAATTTTCTTGGTTGTGTGGTCACATTTAGTATTACAGAGTATATGAGGCATAAAAGTAAAGTCTAATGTTTTGGATGTTTTTCCTTTATGTCCAAAATGGATATGCAATTATGCATTGAGGGACTGTAAGACATTTACTTGGCTTTTGAGATGAGGTCCCACCATGTGGTGCCCTTCCTGCCTCAGCCTTACGCTGGGACTGTAGGCATTTACCACTGTACCTGAGTGTAGGAACACATTTGGCTACTTAGAAGTTAAATCTCAGTTCAAAAATATTTATTCCACGCTTCTGTTTTCCTATGAAGTCACACTGGCAGTAAAAGCAAGAGAAGGAGGAATTCTAATAAATGAATGTAATCATATTTATCCAAAGCAGATGGGGAGGGCTCATTTACCAGGGTAGTTCTGTAGCACAATTAGCCTTTCAAGCCTGTAAATGATGAGCAGATGTTTTTGGCCTTGAAAGGTTCAATTGATTTTTACATAAATAGTTTTGTTTGATTATGTATTGAAAAAGAAAAAAAAACCAGCAAAGAATGTCTTTGAGCAACTATTGACCAGCCTTAAGTACAGATTAACAGTGGTTAAAGTTTAGCTTTTCTTCTTTCATGTTTTTAGATGTTGGATGTTTATGATCTGATTCCTTTTGATAACCCGGATGGCGGAGTCTGGAAGCAAGGATTTGACATTAAGTATGAAGCTGACGAGTGGGACAGTGAGCCCCTCCAAGTTTTTGTGGTGCCACATTCCCACAATGACCCAGGTAAACCCGCACTGCCCAAGAGCTGCAGCTAGGTGGTCCAGTAATGAGGGCCCCATGGAGCTCACGTCTCTCTGACTTCACAGATGAGCTCATCTGACCGACTCATGTGCCGTTACTGGGTAGTACTTGTAGAGCAGGAAACAATGGGAAACCCGAGAAGGATTTTGGGGACATACATTCAGGGTACTGTAGTTTATTTTATTTGCTTCTGGTGAAATATTGCATGGGAGGGCTGGAGGGCTAGTGATAAGTTAAGGGCACTTACCATTCTTGCCCAGGACCCAAGTTCAATTCCAGAGCCCACGGGGTGCTTCACAGCCATCATGCTCCCTCTTGTGACATCAGCCAGTGTGAGGTCTACACGTGAAACAAACCTAAAACACTAAAAAAACTTTGAGAGAATCACTTGATGCTCCGCCTCGGAAAGGCAGAGTGTTCGCTGCAAGATTTGAGCCTTTAACACAGAGGTGTGGGAGCTCTGGTGAATGGGTCTAAGTCCTAGCCTAGACCAGCAGAGTGGGGTGACTTTAGGAAAGTCATTTACTTCCTCAGTGGAGGAAGGTTTTATCTGGCAGAATTAGGATGAGAGTATCTTCCCAGGATGAAATGTAAAGGAATCCTGCCCGACACAAAATAGCTGCTGTTACTGTAATTACTGTTATTTCACACGAAGGCTTTTGTTTGTTGAGGCCAGTGACCCCCACCCCCAAGGTAAGGGGAAATTGCTATAATTTCAGGGGAGCACGTGATTTGATGTGCATGCATAGGGGTGTGAATATATAGCACAGAGTGAACGCCCAGTGAATTTAGTACAGTGCTTCTTGAGGTTGCATTTCTAAACACTGCTTTTGGAAGGACTTCACTAATTTGTGTTCCTTACCTTTCTCAAGAACCGGGTTCTTTCTAGTTTACCTGTTACTTTCTAGATTTTTCTCCTTCCTTCCTTCCTTCCTTCCTTCCTTCCTTCCTTCCTTCCTTCCTTCCTTCCTTCCTTCCTCCCTCCCTCCCTCCCTCCCTCCCTCCCTCCCTCCCTCCGTCCCTGTCTTTCTGTCTGTCTGTCTTTCCTTCTTTCTCTTTCTCACACCTGCAAGCATGACTACCTGCTTCCATTCTTTCCTGGATGTTCTCTCTCCTATGACAACTTTATGTGATGTAAGTGCATCTTACAACTTGGGATCTCAACATAATTCCTCACCTTTCTCTCTCGGTTTCTCCCAAGTCTTTTTCATCCATCTCTCTTTCCCTCTGCGCTCCATTCCCCCAGCTCCATTTCCTTGTTGCTCTATGACCTGAGCACTCAACTGTAATATTAAAAGACATGGTTTACTAGGCAGGGTGCTGAATGTTTTGCAAATTGCTAATGCTTAGGAGAGGTTGGTGGTACCGTTCACTGCAAAGGTGTTATCATCTTGTCAAGGTGACACAAGCAGTGAGCGTATTGGAATCCTTCCTGTCATGTTCACCTGGATTTCTCTCTTGAGTAAGCCTGAGTACAAAGAACACGAGTCTCCTCTTGAATGCTGCTTATCATTAGCCTGATACTTGGCCTGCAGTAACTTTGTAAACACGTGAGCACTTCTCTGAGCTGTCTCCACAGTCCTTCACCGCAGGCCCACACCACGCTCCTCCCCACGCTTGCACGTGCGTATGGGTATGGAAAGATACAGTGTGTTGAGCCTGCTCATGGAGTTTAAGCTCACCAAGGGTCAGGGCTTTGTCTTACAGACTGCCCTTTGTGGAACGGCTGGACCAGCAACTGACTCCTAGTACCCATCATTTCAGTTCTGCTCATGGGTGATTGCAATAATAACTGACCCTCTAGGCTAGGGGTCAGACACGTGGCCTGTTGCTTGTCTCATGTTCTGCATTAGCTCCTGTCTTCTCTGGCGTCTCTATTTCTACTCCTTTGAGACACATTTATTGAAAAGGCCCTTTGCACTTTTTAGAGTAGCAACAGTGCTAAGCTCTTTGAGGGCAGGGATTTCTTAGATCCCTGTTTGTTGGCGTTATGCTTCTTGCTGCAGTATGCTGTTTTGTGTGAGGACATCCGTGGTAACTGTTTCTGACTGCAATAGATGAATCTGTCTGTTGGTATCCTAGCAACCATAGTGAAATCTTTTGTCTTAGTAGAAGATGTTAATGACCCTTACCCTTAGGCCCTTCTCCACTTGATTTAAAAATAGTGGTCAGAAAAAGACCCTTTAAACCTAAAGTAAGTTTTTGCCATGAAGCAAAATGGTATAGAAAAGAACCCACAGACTTTTTGAATTATTTTCACTATTACCTAACAAAACATAGAATTATTGATAACCTAAATTATCCTGTGAAAATGCAAACATTCAGATCATGAAAAATCACTGTCTTAATAGAGAGAAAACAGAAAAATATGTGCATGTGTATTCTAAGTCAAAATATGACTGTAATGGGAAATCTTTGTAGAATACCCCAAAATGAATGTGCAATTAGGCAATTTACTTTCTAAATGAGATTTATAGAAAGTTGCTTGCATTTTCTGCAGCAACAACTTAAAACAAGTTTTGACTCAGTAGTTTGTTTCATCAGTGGATTTATGTCTGTTGGGAATAGAACTATTTGAAATAGATTTTTAAACAAATCCTGTATTTGTCCCTTAACAAAGAATTTGTGGTGTCTATATATACATACATGCATAGATACACACATGTGTGTGCAGATTGTTTCCTTTTTGGGGTGAGTTAGTATTAGTAGGTAAGACAAGATAAATTCTAAAAAACAGTATCTTAATAAATTTCCTAATTAAGTCTTCTTCCAGGACACAAGGATATATTATACAGCATTCAAATGGTTTACATGGACTAAAACAAAATAGGAAGGGAGTTGTTAGGTAAGTGCTGATAGCTCTGTACTGCTATGGATTTGAAAAGTTTTGAATCATAGACCATGAAATTAAATATGAGTTGATGGATACATGTTCATGTTATATTTAATAAGCTGATTAGAACACAATTACAGCACCTTTGTATCTACAATCTTAATTCTTCCCTTCCTACTAGTTAAACTGCCAAAACATTTAGTTAATTTTCCTTCAGAGGAACACAGTGTGTAGAGAAAAGATAAGGTATACTGACTGGAAGCTTGAGCCGTGCACTGTCACTGAGGCAGTCTGTAAAAGGAACATCTGGCAGTGACCCCCTCGTGGTGTGACTCCACAACGGTAGGAAGAGCTGGCCCCTCAAGGTATACTGGAAAACAATTTTCTTTTGTGCGTTTATAGCTCTTTAGAAAGGAAATATTGATTTAATGAACAATGGGATTTTGCCCATTTTTAAAGCTAAGAGAATACATTTTTTTTGTGTTTAGCATTACATAATGATTAGAAATAGATTCGTTAAAAAAGAAAAAGATTTGTTTTATGAATCTGTGGTTAAAGTTCAAAGAGAATAAAAACCTGAAATCACAGTCTGAATTTCAAAGATTTTTGGTTAACTATTACACCATTGGAATTTTAAAATGTTTGGCCAGCTGTTGTTGGTGACTGTCATGTATATCAAAGTAGAGAATGGAGCCCCGGGGGGGGTTGACATCAGCGGGACATTTGGTGTCAGTGTGGGGAGAAGGTCCAGCTCTGTTTAGCTAGTGCAGAGTAAACTGTGTTCTTTGGTTTTGACAATAATTATGGAAAACATCAATTCCCTCAATCTGCATAGCATGAAGACAAACTGAGAGAGGTCTCTTTGTCCACAAAGGAAGGGGAAGTAGGAAGCTAATTCACCTTTAAAGGTGTAGTAATGTTTTGGAAGCTAGTCAGTGATAAATCCTCAGGGGCTGGTGAATTGCAGCTCAGGGTGGTCTCATTCTGAAATCCACGTTGTTCCCATTTGGCTATCCTGTTTCTTAACACATTTATTTCATTGAAACAGATTCTGCATCTTCTTTTTTAAATGGGGAGTAGCCAATTTAGCACAGTTGTCTGGATTTCTGGGTTAGTAATAAAGTTAACTAAAAATTCAAGACACTCCGTCAAACCTGAATTTCTAGTAAACGATGGATAGTTTTCTTTCCTTTTTTTTCTTTTTAGTATATATATTCCAAGTTTTAAATCAGTCATATTTAAATGTTTATTTGAAATTCAGTTTTAACTTGGCATCTTGTGTCTTACCTGAATGACAGCATCTGAGAATTAAATGGCACACAGCTCTGTGGAATTGTGTGCTTAAGAGAGACCCAGACGGGGAATATTGAGATTTGCCTGTCAAGGAAGGAAGCTCTGGTGATTTGGGCTATCTGTGGACTTCATTCTTGAGGACGACATGCCAGTTGCTCTCGAGAGATCTGCATGATGGTCGTACATCTCGTGACTCCTCTCATTTCAGCCTCCATCTATTTTCCTAGCCCGAATGTGTGACAACTCACAGTGTCCTAGTAATAAGAGTTGGCATTGCGGCTTAGGTCCGCGTTGCAGGCGTTCCCCCACCCTGTCGTTTCATGGACTCTAAAACCATTGCTCCACTGCGCAGCGCTATGATAATTCTATAGCATTGCCCTCATTCCATAGAAAAAAGTCAGGAGAAAGGATTAGAGATCTGCCCATGGTAGAGTGGACTGGGCAGTTGTGACCTTGGCTTCTGAACCATGACTTAAGATTTGTTCTTTAATGTAAAACTACCATTCATGGCTAACATTACTGAAGCCACAGGCGGAGCATCTGTGAGGAAATTAAGTACTGTTACAGCTAACATCATCTATGCTGGTAATACTAAACACAAAAATGATTTTTATTAACTACCTTGCAAAAGTGGACACATCTCTGTGCTATTTCCTATTCCTTTTTCCTTTTGATTCATTCCTTTTGATATGGGTGTCTCTGTCCTTAAATACACGGCCTCCCTTATTGCTATGTTTTTCTTTATGATTGGAAATGAGTTAGAAGCAGTATTTTCCAGCTTTAACGGTGACTTCCAGAAACTGTGATACTTTGCACAGCTTGTGTGACCCTATTTCAATAACCTGCTTATGCACCG